AACAAAACTGTGAGGTTATGTCAAGAATTGAATACTTTTACTGCGCCACAATTGTGATTCCAGACGTGAAAACTGTAATTACCTACACTTTTTGTTGTGGAATAATTGACACAACCAGCTAATAGGCCTAATAGTATGTTAGCATTCTCCTTGATTGTATCTCCATGATCAAAAATAGCGGCTAAAATAAATAACATACCTTCAAAAGTTTTTCTCTTTAGACCTATTTGCACATCTGTCGCCATGTTTTGTATAAAAATATGCAATTACACAATAATTACTACAACAAAACAATTCATTTTATCAAACTTATTTTTAAAAGGACACAGAACAGTAACCATAGACCACACCACATACGCAGAAAAGCTATTCAGTATCGATCTGTACAGGGTGATACAATGGAATTTGGTACATTCAGATCCTACAACACTATCCTATTATAGTAGTGAAGGTTTTTAAGTTTAATATGTGGCAACAGTGTGCAGTCACAGCAAACAATAATCGTATGTGTTCCGCGATGCCATTGATACAAAATTTTGATAATGTAATGCCCTTTTAGAAAAACAAATAAAATATGAAAATCTATGTCGGGAAGGTCTTTAAAAATGGCCCTAAAGGAAGAGCAGCGGTTTTTAGTCTTCAATATATGAATAAATTAAACAAATATAGCAAACGAGCTCAGCTCCTGGGTATGGCTATAACCATTGAATTTATATTATAAATTCAATGCTATAACATGTGCAAAACCAAATTTTAAACGTGATGTTAGTTTGTCACGACATTTTAGACAAAATCATGAACACAAAAAAAACCAAACGAAATCCTTTTTTTTTCTCTCTACTGATCGAAATGCTTCCTTATAATTAACAATAGTATTACAAAAAAAATCTTAAACTAACTGTTAGTATTATGTACAAAAAATAATTAAGATCAAATGAAAAATAATTATGGAAGCATTCGAGGTAAGTACAAAATGGATTTTCTAAAATTTATCTGCATAGGTAAAGTTCAACAGATAGCTGGACAGCGCTTGTTTTGTGAAGGTAAGTATGATTGATAATGATTGGACGTATCTCTGACCTTTTATCTTTACAGCTCCAACCTCTCAACATTTGAAATTCCTCTGGCTATATAAAAGATGTACATCCGGATTGGAGGGATGCTAAATAGTAGATGGCAATAATGTAGGCTCCTGACTGGGAGATAATGGCCCGTATGAATAAAAATAAGCAATTGCTTATACTTGCAAAATTCAAAGTAAATACTCGTAAGTGCTCCTTTATACTGGTTTGTTTAGCAGCGCTGCACTGCGTCCTGTCCTTCTGCTTAGCAGCGCTGCTAAGTCGCCCAGTGCGAAGGAGCACTTACGAGTATTTACTTTGAATTTTGCAAGTATAGGCATTTGCTTACTTTTATTCATACGGGCCAATAGTTCTGGCTTCTGAACGTTACTTTCGATATTTTTTTATCGAAATAAGAAAATCGGGAAATAGCTAAAATAGTACTTTCAATAGAAACTTTATTGCTTACATTTTTTTTACTTACGGCTTAAGGTAAGTTCATAGCTCTCCGTTCATACGTTTCCGTTTGTCCGTTAGCCAATCAGAAGACAGCAAATTTTTAAATCGTACGTCGTCCGTTTACCACGGAAAAGTTGGATGAGGTTGAACATTACGTTTCCGTTGGTCCGTTTTTAACAAGAGTGAGTTTATGTTTGGTACGTTAACAGTGTTCGCCTATTCGTTCTTCACGGTAATAATCAGATAGCAACGTGTTCTTACTTTCGTACCATTTTTACATACTGAAAATCACGGAGGGTACAGTACAAATTACAAAATAAAATTTAGGTTATGGTTATACGTTGCAAATGTAGAATGTGGACGGATAGCTATGAACCTTAACAAAATGTATTATCCGTTTGACGGATCAATGCAACGGATTAACGGAGAGCTATGAACCCGCCTTTATGTCCAGCCCTATTTCGTCTTGTGGAAAAATTTCCACTAGTGACAAAATTCAAATTATAAAAAACTGGAACGCTTCTGAAACGGATTACATTTAAATTACTTATTACATAGAATTAATTTACTTACGCTCAGAAGTCAAACTAATACTTAATTAAATTAAACAATAGATCCGTCAATAGACGACAAATAATTTTTATTATATCGCATTCGCAATACAACTGCAGTCGCTAAATAACGACAAAAATATGTTTAAATTGTTGTAAATTTCCCAAATAAAATAATGTTTATAACAAATACCAAGAATAAAACTAGTAATGCCATGTATATTGTATGTGTCCATTCTTGTGACGGAAAACTGTACAGTAATCCGCTACAAGTTTTGCTTTTATTTAAAGGGTATATGTATGAATTTTCATTTAATTGTTTCCATAAATAAGAAAGTTGACACTGCACATCCTACACAAAACCAAATGTGGAAAATGGCGCTACATTTGCTTTTATTCCAAGTAGCTATGTATCAAATTTCATTTGAAGGCCTCCATAAATAAGAAAGCTAGCACTGCGCATGCGCAAAACCAAATTTTGAGACTGGCGTTAAATTTGCTTTTATTCCAAGTTAAATTTCATTTAAATACCTTCATAAATAAAAAAGTTTGCAATTCGGTCTGTAAATGGTAGAGATGCGAAAAGGGCACTGTGAATGTTGATCGATTAGGCTCAACTTTTGGAATTGTGTTTAATGGCTAAAGCTATGCGCATATTGAATTTCATGCAATTCGGTTCATAACTAATAACAGAGATGTGAAAAGGACCTACTTTTTATTTTGGTCTACATTTGCCAATTTTGGAACTCCGATCTACAAATTTGATAAAGAATCCATCTACTGAATTTTATCGTAATCAGTCCATTCGTTATCGAAATATCGTGCTAACGGACGGACAGACACCACAAAATTATAAACTCGCTAATAAACAATAGAAGCCGTAAGTAATAAATTTTGAGCAGGCCCTTCGAAACACATTTGGTAAAAAATTTCAATACTATACAGTTTTAATTTAATACCATAGGGCATAGAGCAATTAACATCTATGTTAATACCTATACCTACTTTTAATACAGCTGTAGCAAAGAAAAACATCACCTACCTATTTGCAGTTTACCAATGTCAATGTCTTCATTTTCTTTACGGTCGCCACCAGATGGAAAATAGAAATCAAATATTTCGCCGGCGTATGTATAATTACAATTATTTAAAACATCTGATAATTTTTTTTCTGCGCATTGTTTGGCGGCAATCAAAGAACCTGCAATTCCATATAGTAGGTGGTCCTTATACGTAACCGAAACAAGATAAGTTGGTTTGTTACAAGTGCCGCCAATTTGGTCTAGTTTATACATGGGTTTTTCGTTTAGCAGTTTGTGGGCTTCATTCATCTAAAAAAAATACATATACCTAGATTACAAACAATTTCATTTTTTCTCTATAGTTTATTAAATAAATTACATAGGCACGTAAGGGGTGTCCCGTTTTAGAATCATGTATATATGGTAAAGATGTAAAGATATAATTTGAATATGCGAACACTAGCACTACTTTTATTCAAGATGTCTGCATACAAAATGTCATTCAAACTTTAAAAGACGGATAACGCATACGCAAAACAAATTTTTTGATTAGGCATTCATTTTACTATTCGAGGTGCCTCCATTCAAAATTTCATTTAAATATCTTACAAAATTAAAAAACGAATTGCGCATGCGCAAAACAAATTTGATTCGGCATTAGTTTTACTTTTATCCTACATATAAAATTTCATGCAATTCGGTTTATACCTAACAGAGATGTCAAAAGAGCGTTCCTTATTTTCCGTTCGTCTCGCGACAGTAATCACTTGGCTGCTACGCACATGCGCAGAACCACCTTCCCATTAATGCACAAAACTTTAAATTTAAATTTAGAAATGTGAATAAAGAAATAAACCGTGCGCATGTGCGTAGCAGCCAAGTGATTACTGTCGCGAGACGTTCCTCTTATTTTTGGCCTAGATTGCCAATTCACGAACTTCAATTTGACAAAGAATCCACCTGCACAATGTCATGGTAGTGGGTCCATGTTATATATATATGTGTACGTAGACGGAACGGGAGACACAGAAGAAATGGCATGTACATTTTAGGTTATGTTTTTTTACTTACTTACTATAAAATATATTAAGTGTACAAACGAATACTGGTATTCTGAATTATTCGACTTGAAGACTACGTGCCGAACATAACAGTCCATCCGTTCTAATTTAAATCGATGAGCATGAAGCCATCGAGTGAGCGATCGTACAATTGGGAGAAAGCATAACCGTCTCGTTTAAAACTCGATGCTAAGAACATTAACTAAACTTGTGCACATTCACTCATAAACGTTTTCGTTTCTGGCATACCATCAGTTCCGTTAGATCAATGCAATCTTCAAATAACTTCCTAGGTTTCCATGGAAATCAACTCTTAGATAGATTTAACGGTAAAGTGGAATATGGAGCTATAATGTGCGTTAAGAATGTGATATGTGATCATAATTCAATACTAAAATTCACAGCAATGCAAAATGATTTAAAAAACGTTTGTTTATTTATAAAAATATATCCATAACATATTTGCACAATTTATACTTTCATGTAATGTTAAACTAATATTTTGACCTCTTATAAAGAAAACTATGACTTACACGTGTAAACAGAGGTACATAAAAAAATAAATCATTTGAATTCTTGTACTATAAACCACATAGGTAACAGTGAATCGAACACGTATCATCTATAAAAAGTTATTTTGCTGATTTTTAGAGTGTAAAATGTGTAGTACGCACAAATACAGTTATTGAAAATCTACACCTGTATGTATGTTTGTGCAACTTCTTTGCAGGGAAACATGGTTACACTAAATCAGAAATTAACAAATATAGAAGTTAACAATCTTAGCAAAACATAATTGAGCAAATATTAATATTTACAGAATTATATCAAAAACAAGAACAATACTGATTACTCAAAACCTTTAATGAAAATAACAATAATATGATATGTAAAATATAACTAGTGCAGACTGGTAGGTCTCACAACAGTAACATAACAAAAAATAATGGAAACAATTTAAGAAACGTGTACAACATCTTTGGTTGATGCAACCCAGTTACTTTGAGCAATATTGTTCAAGTTAATAACTGACCAGTGAATCCCCCAAATCTTCAAGCAGGCTGCACTATTATCGCACAAAAGAAAAATCTTGGATGGTTACAATGAAAGGTAATGGGGAAAACAGCAATTTATTTGAAACCTACACTTGGCGCATGTTCAGCTTATCTTTTAAACAGATGGTAGACAACACGTCACCTTTATTACTTCCTAAAAACACAGTTTGATCATTTATTTTCTGAAGAAGATATTAATTAAAAATTAAAATGGGCCATTTTCTGTTACAAAAGCTACAGAAATTTATCTGTACAACAATTGCACATCTCATAACAAGGGCAGTTTTTTGTTATTTTATTATAAGTTATGGTTTTGTAAAAATATTAGCAGTTTCTGTTATTTTACGCTGCAAAAGCATATTGTCATGTCATGTCTAAAGAAATTACTAAATCGTTATCTTTGTTTTTGCAGCCTTGAAGTTCAATTCATTCATTCATCAAATGTGCCTACATGCAAATATCTAGTAAAGATGAAACTGCTCCCATTGTTCTCTTCAAAAATACATTCTCTTTTAATTTAACTCACCTTCTATCTCAATGGCTTCCACATTAAATGGCAGAAGTCCTGTCTATTAAGTACCTAACTATGTATATACCTATTCATAGACCCCCAAATTTGTATGTAGTTCGAAAATCAAAATACGACTTTTGTGCAACAATCAAAAATGTCTGATAAAAAACAGTGTTTCATTCTATCCATAAAAAAGCACTAGGCTTACAAAATTTGCATTATAAAAATCAAATTTGGCCAATAGATTTACCAAAAAAGATGGCCAGAGGTTCAAGTAGAGTTCCAAGATGTACAAACGATTTTTATAACTGTATAAGTGCACCATAACTTATTAATTAATAAATAATAATTAATCAGCAATTTAAATTTTTGAAGTCGTATTGTGCAAAGGCATGGACAAAAAATGCAAAAAAGTGGATATAAAGGATATAAGAATAAGACCAACAAATTCGTGGAAACCAGATTATAAAATAGTGATTATGAGTTCAGTCAAGTCACTTGACAAGGTTTAACAAATGGAATCTCCACAGCCACACAAGTGGATCAATCGCTCACAATTTTCAGCAATTGTCATAGACAGTTAGAATGCTGTCATTTGCATAATGTATTGTGTAGTATCAAGTTGATCGATATCTCTCCAACAATAAAATTGAAAATGGAAATCAAACCATAGACTCTTTTCTAATTAATTTGATAACACAAAATTCAGTACACACATAAAATATTCAGTTCATGTTAAATTATCACAAACCATCGAGAAGATATATCTCGCCCTGTATTTTTATTGCATCCCAGGAAGCAACTGGTTGAAAACAAGTAAGTATCCAATGAATGATCATTTTTCTTCAGATTTGTTGAGAATTGTAGTACAACTTGTAGTGCTAGGTAAAACAATTTTTTTTTGTCTTGAAAACATTCATTTACACAGACGAACAAGAATTTTCAAGAGTTCCTGTTTAATGTGTCACGTGGGGTATAATGCTATTCAGATTTTAAGATCAGGTATGGTGTACAGTGTCAGCAACGTGAAAACAAATGAAAATCACGATCAACTATGTCCCCCGTGGTGCTCGTATGTTTCATTCTATTCCTCAATTATAAAAGTTGGATTGACTTAGATTCACCACTCTGTATATTCATTATCCAATAAATTGGTAGTAGTATGTTGTGACATCACAAAGTTCCGTTTTTCAAGTAACATATACATAGTCAAAGAGATAGAAATAAGGAAAAAGTTTGACATTGAATTATTGGAAAAATCCCATGACACACTGTTTGGGATCAAACACACTCGTGATATTGGCATATTTATCAGATTCCAAATTTCATTTGTTTACAAGACCAAGTCGAGCACCAAGCTATAAAAAATTACAATAAAAAGAAAGATAAATAAAAGTTGCTGGAAGTACTGATTCTAAGATCAAAGTGTAAAGTGTAGAGCACCACTGACATAAGGTAAAATATTTTCTTGTAACCATCCAAAATAGGTATCAACCAAATTAGCCATTTGATTAATTTAAAAGGTCAGCCACTACCTATACGGATAAATGTTTGAAATGATACTGATAGCAGTATGATTAACTGGAACACTTGAGTACTGCTCAATACCAAAACCATAGTGTCATTACTTTTAATGAAATTAATGTTACATTATGTAACATTTCAAAAACCACCTAATCATAATAAAAATAAGAGTAGATACGTTCGAATTTTTTTCACTATACTTATCTTAAAAACTGAAAATTCAAAAAAATAACCTGGTAACAATTATAGGGACCATATGATTGGCTTTATTGTTGCAAATTGTGTGTCAAAACAGAATGAGGATGTATGTTAACGTTTAGTAGACCTGGGTTTAGAAGTGAGTACCTAAAAATTAAAATTCGCTTAATTAATTGCTGGATATTTTAAGAACTTACTTAATATCACGTTTCCGCAAATGTTGTATTACTGCAGGTCTAAGTCGAGATTTTCCCGGACTTCTTTTGCCTCTACCAGTAATAATGAATAATGTTTCCTTCTTTTTATTGGTACCTCTTAACAAGTTGATGTTTCGGTCTAAGAATATATCCAAAGCGGGAAGAGCCTCCTTCACGTATAAGTAGTGAAGGTCCAAAGTTTGAAAGTTCTGCAATTTTTCGGAGTGTTCCTGAAGAAACGCCGTAGCTGCCAGACCATTTGTTTGCTCGTATAGTCGCGTATATGATTTTGCAAGGTCGGAATAGAATTGTGCGACTGCATACTGCCTGCTCTGAAATGCTCGCTGTGCCTTTTGCATACACTCGTTGTGTTTTCCGTAATAGTCATTTGCTTCATCACGATATTCGATAGCAGTTTTTGATACGTCATCTACAGTTTCGGTCTGTAAAAAAATTTATTGAAAACAAAATCAGAAAATGTTTCCTTTCTCAGTTTTACTATCATTAAAAAAGGAAGAGAACAGTGACAGAAAACAAAAATAGCTATATGTGGTCTGAAAATTTGTCACAGTTTCAGATAACAATGCAGCAATTAAGTGTAAATGGACAGTTTAATCGAATTTAGGTGCGCCGTATTCTTGGATGAAAAAATAACTGGATTGCTAGCAGTAAAATTTATAAAGCCAACATCTACAGCGCCACCACAAGGCGGTGTGCGTTTTGTGAAACGAAATTTGACACACGTCAATGTTACGAGATTTAATTTTAAGTGTTTTATAATGATTTTATGTAAATTTGTGTTAGTTAGTTGTGTTACTTTTACATAATTAATTAAAAATGAGACGCTGAAGTTGTTTTATCAACGTTTTCATTTGGTGTATAACTTATTTTCTCGAAAAACAACCTTTTAGATATACTTGTCCTTGCAAATTTCATATTTAGCGCCTCAGATTTAGTTCTCATTTTAGTCATACCCAGTGATGGCGCTGCAGATGTTGGCTTCAAGTTTTATATTAGATATTATACGACGCTAGCAGTTCAGGTTTTAATGGTTGTAGGTCGTATTTTCCATGATTGTGATATCTTTCATATTGCACCATACATTTATAGTAAAAATAGTTGACATATGGCAGATGTTCTCATTACATTTTTGTAAAATTGTCAAGCGAGATCGTTATATTGGTTTTATTTCAACTGTTTAAAACGTGTCTGTGTACCCCAGTACAAAGATTCACATTCGTGAGTGCTCAATAGGGGCATAATTATAACATTTGGCGACCGTGACAGGACATTTATTCGTGAGTTTTGTTCTGGGAAAACGTTTGTGGAAAATGGAGCAACTGGATGTGGAACAGCTTAAAAAACTTCGTATCTCTTCCCGGTAGGCGTTTACGAAAGCGTACAACGAGTTACAGGTTCTTTTAGCTGGAGATATTACAACTACTAAGGTAGTTGAGGTGAAGATATCTTGGCAATTATTACAGGAGAGACATGAGACGTTAGTGAGGACAACTGAGGGATTACACTGCCTAATGTCCGCTGATGAAGAAATTTCGGAGGACAGTTTAACGGTAGATATGGACGAAGCAGCAAAGTACCCCCGTACATTTCTAACGGGTAAATACGCGGTAGAGGAGGTATTCCAACTTCTTGATCCTCCGCCGCAGTACAATCTACTCCTGGAGGATCGACAACAGGGGTAGTTAATATACCTATTACATCTAAGAAACTGAAACTGATAACGTTTGGTGGTTCCACCCGCGAATGGTTCGCGAGCTGCTGAGTTAATTGCATGCTTTCCACCTACCGGCAGTTTGCAGAATGCCAAACGAGGCATTAACCGCGAAGCTTTGAGTAGCTTATATGCCAACTTGAGTCACATATGCAGGCGTTAGCAACATTGAGAGTTACTACAGACAAACGTGCTGCTATGTTGTACCCATTGGTGGAATCCGCATTACCTAAGAAACTTTTACGCACGTGGCAACGTACAACGGAGTCGAGACAAGCTAAAGACTGCAAAGAGAAACTCAAAGCGTTAATACAGTTTATCGGCACCCAAGTCGAAGCCGAGGAGAAAATACTTTTGGCCACTGACAGTTTTGGCTTGGTGAATAAAAGGCGAGTGAAGCGGACAAAGCCAGGAAAGAGCAAAAGATTGTTCTGACGGCAATGGGTCTTTTGACAACTAAACCGAAAGGAGAGATTTGTATCTTTCCTGATGGCGATCATTCTAGCGCTGACTGCGAGAAAGTGCGGGCCATGTCTTTGGGTGAACGTCAAAAAATAGCACCAGATAAGAATTTCTGTTTCAATTGTTTGAAACGAGGCCATGGTTTTCGACGATGCAAGGTCCAGCTTAAGTGTAAATGGTGTTCTAAGCGTCATGTCATGGTTATGTGTAGAAGCCTAGCGATTAATAAATCGACAGACGAATCTACGGAAGCTGAGAAGGAAAAAGTTACTACAACAGAACAGAATCTGGCTTAATTTTTTTAAATGTTCCTGAAGTTTGTTTAATAACATTGACAGCGACACTTCTTCAAGGCAAACGGGAACAGATAGTGCGCGCGGTAATTGAACCGGATCCCAAAACTCTTATACAGGGTGTTACATGACCGCATCCAAAAAAAAATTGGGTGATAGAGGGGAACAAGACAAACACTTTTTCCAAATAAACCGATGGTCCAACGTGTTTCGTTTGGGAGGGGTGGCTCCCAAACGAAACACGTTGTCTTTGTCCGGCCAAGAATTGCAGTGGAACTTTTTTTTTCGAATTTTCAAAAACTAATTTCAGATTCGTTATTTTCATGTTCAAAAACCCCCAGATACCAAATTTCGTCGAAATCAGAATTTTTTTTCGCACCCCCAAATAGAGGTGCGCCCCTTCGGGATAGAAATTTTGATCAAAATCGAATAGGGCATACCCGAAAACCTATTCAAAGACGTGCCACCCATCTTTGTAACTCTTATGGTTGCTGAGAAAAAAATTAAAGAAGAAATCCAAATTTCACCCCTTCTTTGGGGGTGGATCCCAAACGAAACACGTTGGATCATCGGTTTATTTGGAAAAAGTGTTTGTCTTGATCCCCTCTGACACCCAATTTTTTTTTGCATGCGGTCATGTAACACCCTGTATACGCAAAGCGGATGCGATTGCTATGGGTTATCATTCAGAATGAGAGGATGAAATTGCACAGACCCCTTTTGGTCAGATTAAGACATGGCCTCAAAAGCATCATGTATACCGACTACATTTACGTAGTGTCGATGGTAGTTACGCTTGTACTTTTGAAGC